TATATATATGGTAAAATCTTCCAGTGGGATTGCTGCACGCAATGAGGAACCTGTGAGTAGTGTGAGGCTGTTTGGCTTGGCTTTAACGTGTAATTCACATAGACTTTGAGTAGGTTGAGCTGTTTATTTTTCATTTGGATTTGTAAAGGAGAGAACAGGCCTCATATGGAAAAATTAAAGATGGATATTCACTTTTATTAAGAGCATAGATTATACATTCTTAAGTGAAATGTGTCCACCATAGAACCTTTGGGTTATATTTTTAATTTGTTAGATAAATATTTACTTACTGAATGTGTTTCTACTGCTATGCATCTGATCAACCAGGACAACTCTTATTGAAACATTTTAGATTAATACTCTGCTTATTAAAAATACATAATAAAATTCTGAAACTAGTCACTGCTAAAAAGTAGATCTTGGGTCCTGCAAAGATCTGAATTATCTGCTTAAAATGAGCATTTGAGTAGGTCCACTGATGGCCTTTACTCTCAGTAAGTGCCTAAATATATGCAGAATCAAGAACCTTGATTATTCAAAGGTTAAATTTGGGATCTTACACCTGAGAAAATGTAGTGGTTGCTACCATGAGTAATTCCCACAAAGGAGGATGTTATATTTTGTGACAATAGCCAGAACATACTCCAAGGGTGAGAGAGACTGACTATACTTGTGTATGAAAAGTGACTGACACTTTAAACAGCAAAGAGCAATGACTGCTAATGAATCTTTCCAAACACACTACGTGTTGTTTCCCAAGAAGGCTAACTTTGCATTACACATTAATAATTTAGGCATATTTTTCTCCTTAAATTCATTTGTATAACATAAACCCAACAAATACCTACTTTTAAAAATGAAATTTTGAATCAAAAATTGCTTTGGGACTGAAACTGTGTACTTCAAATTCCTCCCACAGCAATTTAATGGCAGCCAGGTTGTAAACGCCAGAAAACAGGGGGTTGTGGTTGGTAGTGCTGACGTGGCCTCATCTTAGAGTGCTGGAGTGCATATCAGTAAAGACACCAGCAGATGCACTCCTGCACTCAACTTGCTGGAAATCCAGCAGCTCATCCCTATGTGCTTGCTCTGCTGTAAGACGGTAAATTGATTTAAATTGCCAAAATTAAAAACAAAACCAAAAACAAACCACCATCAAAATTGGAACTTGTGCTTCTTCTAGAATGCCCTGACCCAGTTTGCAAAGCACTTCTCCCTGTCACGTGGCTTTGGCATCACTTTGCCTTCCTTATTGCATGTCTGTTGACCCATCTGGTGGCTGAAGTGTTAGCATGTATGTACTGTAAGCGTAGTACTAAAGAAAACTCTCAAAAGAATTGGATTTCTGCAAATTGGATTAGTGAATTTTCCTCCTCTCTGGATTATTTCTTCATGTAGGGTCTAGTGCTACTTTGGTTGAATCCAGTGGGGAAAGTTCCACTGAATCAGTGATGCAGAAGGAGCTGTTAGACATTCAAAGACCTCTCCAGCCAACCTCTTTATGATTCCCTCTCTCACAGTAATTTTTAAAAATGTGCCCAATATCACCAGCTGCCAATGAATTCACTCTTTTTTTTTTAATACAAACATTTACCACACAAACATGAAGGGAAAAGCCATCAACTTTGCAGGTTATTACATATTTGTATGACACAAAAAAAATAATAATTTGCAGTCACAAACTGTACATAGTATTTGGAGGGACACAGTACATTTGTGGTTTAGAGTAAAAAAGGATTGCTTCAATGGTAATTAAAATAATTACTGATGAGATATAAGACTTTAAAATCTAGAAAGGGTGATAATTTGGCTACAGAGACGATCATTGTAGTATGCCTAACACAGAGGTTTGGATAGTAGAAAGGTGAGTGGAGGGGTCTGGGGAAGGAAAGACACTGTCATGCAGAAAAGCATTAGTTCTTGCTCAGTATACTCTTCAGGCTTCTCTCCACTGCTTCATCTAATTCTTCCTCCAGCTCTTCCTTCTTGGACATGGCCAGTTTGGACTGATAATCTTTTACTATTTGGTCTATGTACGGTGCACTCTGAGTCCCGTGCAGCATCAATGTCCACTCCTTCAGCACACCCCGCTGGGGCTGGCCACCAACAAACCCAATCTCTAGAGCCCAGGTGCCTCGGGGGTCTTCTCCCCAAGTGTGTGTGGTCATGAAAGGCCATTTGTCAAAACCCACCTTGGAGTCGTCATCCCTGGGGCGCCGGCTCAGCAAAATGGACTTTGTTCCCATCGGTGAGGTCATGTTGATGTTGAGGTCTCCTCGTCGAGTGGAATTCACAGTTATAACTGCCTGGACATGTTCAAGGTATCGGACAAAGTTTTCCTTCCCCTCACAAGCATCAGTTGTCAGTGTGAGGACCAGCTTGCCACTTGGTGGTATCTTCCTGTAGGTCAACAGATAATTAAGCAAATTAAAAGGAGAGAAAACACCATGGGAGTTTTAGCTTACGCTGAAACTATTGGGTTTGATGCCTCACAGAAACCCCCTATATTACTTTCCTTATTAATACACGGAGAAGTAAGGAAATAATAGTTGCAAACCTAGCCAGAAAGAGAACATTCTCTTTCTAGAAAACAATGCCAAAACCTTAATTTGAAAATACATTATGAAATGTACACCTACACAAAGGGAAGGAATACAATTAAGAAGCACATACTGCTCTTTAAGAAATATTAACATATATTTAATGTTTGCCTTTACTTAGCACTCCTATATTGGGTAATTGCATAATCATGTGTACACTCAGTAAAAGAAGCATGAGCAGTCAGTCATGTCAGAGCCTCCTCAAATAACAGCAGCAAACAGCTGTCTGGTGTCAGAGGAGCCAGTTGCACAGAACTGCAGTGCCTATATCCTTGTTCTGCTTTGGAAACCAGCACAAACATGGGATCCTACTGTCAGCTCGTTTGAAAAATACTTTTCCATGAAGATTTCCATCGTTGAACAGCTCCTCCTGTACACCAAGGAAAGAAGTCACATGTGTTTACTGAGTTGCCAAAATGCTGTCTGGCCCAGGAGCTGAGGCTGCCAAGTCTCTGTCAGGTCCTAGGGTCAGGATGCAACTGGCAATTACCCACTGCCTCAGAAACTGGCAGGCAAAATACACGGGAAGCGTAAAAATGCTCTGCGTCTTCTCCTTCAGTGTTCTGTGAGCCCTGTGACACTTTCCTCTGTCCAGAAGAAGTAATTGAAAGACAAGAATACTGCAGTCATTAAAAAAGGGACTAAGTCACAAAAGACTCTGGTCACCTTGCCATTACCTTGTCTTCCAGTGGCTTCTCCCTGACCTCAGTTCTGCAGTAGAATTGAGAGCCCTTTTTGATGGGCATTGACCACACTGTGGTAATGAACACCTTCGTTTCAAAAGAAATGAGTACCAGCCTTTTTCCCTCAGCTAATGAAATACTGTGTTCTTTAGAGACCAGTGAAAGCATTTCATTCAAGCTTAGCTTCCAGGAATTTTCTGCTTGAGATGAGCTCCAGGTATTACAGCTCAGTACATCACTAATTGGCTCAGACCAGCCTCTTCTTTCTTGGGAGTATTTGCAGAATAAAAAGTCATTCAGATTCAGGTCCTCAAGGCATTTAAACACCTTAAACTTAAAACCTGTGTTGTTTTGAGTATTATGGATGCCCTGGAGCAGAAGCTGGTATAACATAAATATTGTACAGTTAAAAAACTTGAGTATCTAATTATAACACCCTTGAGATATTTATTTTATGTTGCCAAAGCAAAAGGAAAATGCACTATATGCAGTCAGAGGTGAAGGACCATGATTTCACAGTTACCACACTCTTGCAGTTTATCTGCACAGGAGGCATCAATTTCAACTCAATCTGAATTCATGTGGTCTCACGGCTGTCTTACATAGTAGACAAAGCTTTGGCAAACACTGCTTCATTCCCAGAGTGCTTTATCTCCTCCAGTAAATGAGGAGGGACACCACAGTGTGAGTCTTTTCTACCTATCAACACCAAAACCCAAAGAAACAAGAACAGTGTGTTCCCACTCCATCTGCTCTGCAGACAACTGCAGACAGCTTTTCTCTCCTCCTTCTTAAGTGCTGCAGTGCAAAAGTTCTCTCAGCTCTCTGAAACACATGGGAAAAGGCTTTCTCTGTTTCCCCCTTTTCTATTAAGGATATTAGGATCTAACACCCTCTGCTTTGCTAGCCTAATTACTGTAGTCCAGGTGAATTTTTCCAAAGACAGAAGAACCAGTGGTGGTGGAAAGAGCCTGACATGAAGGAGCAGAAGAGAGAGATTTTCCACAGTGTCACAGGGTGCCACTGCACATATAAAGATATAATATAGCCACTTGCATGATGTAGCATCCAGTTAGAGATGAGCAGGGGAGCTAACCTCTCTCCAGAAGCACATTCCTGTGTGCTCCCATTCCTCAGCTAATGGACTATGACGTCCTAAATCATCTTTGTATGTCCCTAACCAGTTAGATTCAGACTTTTCCCTTTCCAGGAAAAGTTCCTATTGTTAACAAGTATTTCTACTTTAAAAACTGATTGCTTTCAGCACACTGTATATTTTAGGCTGTCAATTATTTCCTGGCCTTTTGCTGCTAATTGACAACAGTGCTTTGAAACAAAGCTCTGTTTCAACTACTCACCTCCATAAATCTATACTGAATATGCATTTTATGTATACAAATATCTGTAGTTAAACAAACATAGAATTTAGATAGAAATGTTGCTCCAGCAAGACCAAACTAAAAAAATAGCCCAACTATCCATGGCAGAGGTGCAGTGTAGTTTTCATGTCCAAGGAATCTCTGGAGATGCTTTGTTTTAATTGCATTTTCTTACAGTGCAATTCAAAACAAGGTAGATGTTTCACTTCATGATGCTTATTATTTCCTGTCAGTGACATTTTCATTAGGGGACATAAATATTACAGCAGTGCTATTAACATATAGATTTGTTGGGCAATTGAGGGGGGCATCCATAAAACCTACAGAAAGAAATGTTCTCTCCTCCTCTAGGATGATCCCCATTTCAATAAATGAAGCTGCATTAAGATAAATGAGATTATTTGTCTGCATTTAAATATTAATAAACTTGAGAGAGCTCAAAATTAGTTTCAGCACTCTCATTTGTTTTATACCTGTGAGCATGCATAGGCCACATAAATTAAAACTCAGATCTCAGCTGTAGAACCAAATACAAATACAAACCCATCTGGAAGATCGGACAAACTTGCTCTCTGCATGGCTCAGCTATGTGCTAGGGTGGCACACTGGTTTGTTTTTCCTTTCCAAGAGAATAATGATGCCTTCAAAAATGGCAATGAAAAGTCAAATTTCAAATGGTATAGACATAAATTGGCCATTATTAAGTTAGTATTTCAGTTAATTAAATTAAAATACAGCTGTTGTAGTCAATTAGTATTAATTCAATCACTTGTTGACTTGTTCACTTTAGCACATGAAGGTAAATCATAAAATAATCTTGACTACCTGGCCTGCAATTAGAGATTTGAAGAGCATAAACCAAACACAATTAAATGCTGTAGTGTTCGAACTGAATCACTGGTACCTGTAGATGATTGATTCAGACTTCTGGAGATAAAATTGTCTGCTGGAAAATGTCACAAGGAGATATGACCTGGCTGACAGCTATTTCATGTGGCAGCAGTTTATGTAATTTACAGTGTCAGCCTCCCAGACCTTCACTCGGGGACAGGATCTTTATTTACAGAAACAAACATACCTGTGAGTCCTCAGGAGAAATGGATGTTGTTATTAACACTACTAGCACTAGCAATGAGGACACAGATGAGCTGTAGAATGTGCTCCTCCAGCAAACCAGGAACTGAAAGATCATGTAGCTTTATCAACCATTGTTGATAAAAAGTGTTTTATCAACTTATTACTGGACATGTTAGACTTTCTTAGAAAAAAACCTTCATTATGTTTCTATGTCTATCCATGTCTTTGTCAATGTAATTCCATGTTTGTGGTCTCCTAATCACCTGGAAGATGTCAAACACATGCACTGGACTTACTCAGGTTCCTGTATCGACCCTCCGACACAATGGAATCTCTCGGGAACAGTCTTCCAGTCTTTTGCCATCCTAACCATTGCTCCTGCATCTAGGACACCATAGCCAAACAAATGATTGAACTCCAGCCCAACACCATTCCTACGCCATCGATGAACTTCATCATGGAGCTGGTTCCTCTTGGAGGTGAGCACTGTCAGATGCTGCATGTCTCTCCATGTCAGATCCAAGCTGTGCAAGAGCAACATGGAAAACAAACAGTACAGTACTTACAAGCAGATATTAAAGAAAGACTGTTTGAGTAAGCCTCTTGGTAAAATTTGCTTCTATGAATAACACTGAAACTGTATCTATACACATAGCAATAACAAAGCTTCTGTTGATTTCAGTAGGAACAAGAATAGGTTTTAATTGTATAGTACTTCTCCAAAATATATTCCCCCAAAACTGCAAAATCATTTTTAATTGTTTCACTCTTCTTAATAACAATTGCTTTTAACTACACATTATAGATCTACAATGCAATTTTTAAGCTAATGAGTAGGATATTATACCAGATCCTGAGAAAAAGATAAAAAGAAAAAGATGATGACAGAATTTCACCTAGCTTTCCTCTTAAATCTTGCCCTCTTTTTCTTGCCTGCTCCTCCTGATTTTCCCATGGAGCTTCAAAGTTTCACCCTGAGAAGTCCCAGTCTGATAAAGCTGATGGGCTGTAATGATCCAGGTGTTAGCACTGTCAGGATTCTGTGAATATGAGTATATGGGCTGTGGGAGGCTGCAGGTTTGCATTATAATGTATGGCAGAGGTTTGTCACCTGTGACATGTTAGCATGGATGGATGTAGTTAAGCAACATTTGCCTAAATTCAATGGTCATTTTTCATCATCAGCACTTGTCTTCCTAGATATGCAGTGATTATGATGACAGGAAGGGCACTTCTAAGTTATTATTCTGGAAGCTTCAGAACCGACATTCTAATTCTACATAGCTAAAGCTATTCCAGTTGGTTTATGATGAACTCTTTCAACATCACAATATGTCTGATTCAAACCACCAACCTAAAAGGATCTGCTTTTCAGCTTTCTGTGCCCCAAGTAATAAGCATGTGTGCGTGCTGAATGTATACCAGAATAGCCAATTACTGTCATTTCCCCAAGGTGACACAAGAGAGCTGAAAAGCAGATATCACTTGCATCATTATTACTGAAATCTTTTCAGAGCTCGCTGCATATCTTAAAGCTGTACTTTCCATTTCACAGATTGGACTGGTTTGAGAGACATGTCAGATGTACACTGTGTACAAGCTGACAGACATAGTGCAGGCAAGAGCAGTCTGCATGGCAGATTGTCAGCCATTCCCGGGAAGGCTAGTGCAGCTCATCCAGAGTAGTTCTGCACAACACAATTTAATAAAGTTGGTCTGGAAGGGGATAGGAGACACTGACAGCTCCTTCTCTCCCCTGCTGCCTTCTCAGCAAAGGCTAGAAACTCTAGTGCAAGCCAGGGGTATTAGTCTAATTCCTATTCATGATAATTTGGCAGAGTAATTCCAGTCTTTATGGAGAGCTCAAATGAAACGGAATTATAATTATTACTGAGATATTTAGGTCCCTGTCTAGTTTAAGCATGCAGTGGTGAGAAAATTCGTTCAACCTTTATATATTTATGGCCATATTAATTTATTACATAGTGGTTGTCCCACTGAATGAGTATGATGGTAGAAGGAATGATCATCCAAAGTTAAACACTTGGCATATGTTTTATGTGTGCATAACCTGAAAAATGAGACTTAGCCCAAGTCATGCTCTGAACACAACAATCATTGCTGTGCTAATGATGCAAACTTTGCCTCTGCCAAATTTTCATTCTTCTGCAGTGTTGAAGGAAACTATGTACACAGCCCTCACTTCATCTTATGACTACAGCAACTGAAGCTGTGTAACTGAGGAAATGTTGGCTCACTTCACGAAAAAATTAACACAAGGTAAAAGGTATAGGTTATTGTGACGAAAACTTCCTAATCAATAGAGAAGAAGATAATGAATCTAAGATACATAAGAAGCCTCCAATGTCATGAATGTCATGGAGATGGAAAAGTGACAATGTATATTTATTCCTTCATGTAACAGAGCAGTTATGTAGTGCAGAAGCACATTACAGGCCATGGGTTAAGAAAACAAAGAAAACATTCCCCACCACCATTGCCAAAAAATATTGTGGAACTGATTGTCACTGGATGACACAGGTGCCAAATACAGACAACTTGAAAAAGAGACGAATTCAAGGAAGATCAATCTGCTTGTGGCTATTAAGTGGGCTGACTGTTCTCTACCCAAGCCACAAATTGTTCAAAACCCTTGTTGAAAGATCACTCTTAATCTCAGTTCGCTGTCCTCTCCCTAAGCATCTGTCATTGCAGACAGTACCTGGCACAAGATGAACTCCAGTCTGATACTACAGGTTCATTCTTATGTTTTAGTAGGCTGGGCATTTCACTCAGGACATGTGGAGAAATTAAACAATCTCTCCTTCCAAACAGAGCTAGAGAAGACAAAACCCCGGATGCAGTGGATGGGTAAAACCCAGAGAAAGCAAGTCAGCCAAAATGTATCTGCCACATAGCTTTGGCAAGGCTGTTGCTCCATCTGTAAGTCACCATGCACATCACTCCTGTAGCAGGCAGCTTGTGAGCTGTTCATTCCAGCCCCATGCCACAGCCAGCCAACTGGAATGATGAACACCATCAAACAAACCGCAGGCCCTCTCCTCCCTAGAGCTCACAAGGAATTTCTCAACAGCATACTTAGCCTCCAGGGCCAGGGCGAACACTCCGGCTGCTTCGGGGGCAGCTGCAGATGTGCCTGAGTGACGCAGGGTGCAATTGCCATACAAATCCGTTGTAGCCTGCAATGATATTAGATGTAATTAATGAAACCAGCTAGTCAGTTTTCCTTGTAGCTACAGACTCAGAAAAAGGCAGAAAGTGGAGTTTGCACCCTTAATTTTTAGAGTAATTGTGTGTTTGTGCCCATGATCTGTTTTCTTCTTTAGAACAGTTTATCGACTTAAAACTACACTGAGATGTGGTTACAGAGGGTGTGAATGCAAGAATAAGTCATGAGGTAGCAAAACAATGTTCATTATCACTTAGAACTCATGAATGTATATAGATAGCATTTAGCTCCTATAAACACAGTTTAACCACAAGCCTTATCAGAAGGTTTTGAAATGAGAATTGTTAACAGTATTGAGCTTTCTAATGTTCGGGCGAGGACCAACAGCAGTACTGCTGTTTTCTATGCAGACTAGTCACTAGAGGAGACCAGAAGAAAACCTTAGAAATACATTTTATGGCAGTAATTACAGAGGTACCACAGATCATCTTGGCTGATATGAGCACAGAGCTGATATCAAGAGAAAAACCAGTGTTTTTTCCGTCTGCTACTGCATGTGGGCATTTACGATTGTATAATGTGTCCCTGGGATGTGAGACAGGGCCATGGAAAATGTCTAACAGCTTTTGGCAAAAATTAACCTTGAGTTACTACAACTGACTTTTCCACTTTGTGAATTGGATTATGTCCTTGCTAGTCTGAAGATGCTGAAGAGCAATGATCACTATGGTAGAAGAGAATCCCAAATACACTTGAACAGAAACTGCCTACTAGGCTGCTGTAGGTATGGCCTTGTAGGGCACTTGAGTATGATGCTCCACACTGCTCAACAGGAGGCTCTGGGTGATGTGAACCCCTACATGTCCTCTGGGGGTGACTGAATGTCTTTCTGCTCTGTGCTGCTTGTACAGAAGAAGTCTGCCAGCACAAATAAATATGGCCTCAGATGTTAAAACTTTTAGTTTAGATTTTACAGAGAATTTTTGAAACACTGTCCCCTGGGAAGTGCACAACTGAACTTTTAAATCTGGTTTCTGATAAAGGAAAACACCAAGTTTCCTTTGAAGCTCTAAGAGATGGAAGATCATTGCTGTTCTCAGTATTAATTCCACATCTCCTCAGCTGACAGTTTTGGCATCATCACATACTGCAGAAGAGAAAATATCCATCTCAACAAAGAACCATCTGGTGCTCCAAAGCACACAGAGTTGTAATAGGTCATGGGAGTGCACAAAGACCATAGCAACAGCACAATAGTGTCGGGACTCACCACGCCGGCCTCCGGATTTCTCTTCCTCCCGTTACTAAAGGTGGAGGCTAAGGTTGAAGAGCAACTTTCATCATACAGAGCTGTCCGTCCGTCGTTTATGGCAGAATTGATGGAGATGGTCCACATGCTCGATGCATAACCATCGCAGTTACAGTCATCATAGCTGCCCCCATCTCCAGAGGCCCAGACATAGATGCTGCCTTTGCCACCCCGACCCTGTGAAAGGGGAAAGTTGACCCTCTTGAGTTAAACTACAAATAGCAGATACTTTAAACTGCATATCTAATTGTAAAACTGAGCATCTCTAAAGAAGAAAACTGGTCCAAACAAAATATACATCAACCTTAAGCTGAAAATACATGGACTTACATAGATTATTAAACCAGGTAACTGGCAGACACAGCCAGTTCTGCAGCCTTATATATACAGAGTACTTCCATTTGTCTCCTTCATGCCCTGAATGCTCCCATGCCAGGTGCTAAGACATTTTATGGATTCATTAGCATTTATGTCAAGGTCTAAGTGCTATAAGGAAAGTGCTCTTTTAAAAAGGATATAGGTCATCTCGCAGGCTGTGTTTGTAAGATCCAATTATGTTCAGGCAATGGCTAAAAAGCTCTGTAAAACTGGCACCTTTTCCTCTCAATAGATTTTTTTTCCAAAGGTACTGCTGGCTAAGAGCTGTTTTTCTGACAAACCAGCTTCTACTTCTAAGGAGAAAATAAAGTTATGAGACCATATAAATCATAGACAGAAAAATGGTCCAGCAATTACACTGAGATGGAGGGGAGACACTGAAGCTGAAGGCAGCTATAAAGGCTGTCCATTTGTTAAAGGAAAGAAATCTGTATCCTCTTCCCAACTTCCAGATAGGCAGGAAATGGGAAGGGATCGACTCAGCTCCTTCTAATCCCATACTCAGGTAGGAGGTGTCTGGAAGAGAGTCAGACCCGAGAACCCTGACACTCAGGGAAAGATCAGTGCTACTGAACCCAAAGCTCAGATCTCCCACTGACTCCAGCACAGCTACTATTTCTCTCTGTGCTTAGTCCAACATAATCCAACATTTAATTCCAAGAGCACCAGAAGGCTGCAAGGCCTGAATTTAACACACTGTTTATATGCATTGGGCAGAAGATTAAAAAATCTCTTCTGGCCTCCTCATTGCCCAGCATGAAATGGAAGTTAAAGAATATACAAACTTAGCAACCTGCAATGGTATTTTAATAGGGAACCTTTTCTGTCAGGATTTTAAATCAAATCTGAGCTCCCAGCAGTAGCTTCTATTTTTCATCACACCCCACTGAACAGAGCAACCTCATTATTTCAAGCACGTTAGTGAGCTGCATTATAATCCACTGAATTGCACAGCAGGTTTGCTGCCACTGGGGTATATAACATCTCAGGACATAGATTTTCATAATAAAGATAATGACTATGAAAAAACTCTCTGAAATCCATCTAAGAACTCCCACAAAGATCTGAGATCAGTCATTTGAGTTTTAAGGGAAGATGATACTGCTGCAAAAATATATACTTTCAGAACAAAATAATGCCAGCAATTTATTTTTAAAAAATTAAAATCAACATACCAAGAAGAGTTATGCCTTTTTCAGCTTTGACGTTTTTCACATCCTACCTTGTGCTCTGACTGCTGTTAGCCTACAGGATCCAAGCCTCAACTTTGGACTGCCTTCAGAGGCTACATCCCAAGTGTGCCACCACCATGCCCATGTACACCACCTTGCCACCATCTGCCTGCTTTGGACAGCCTCTATGGTAGCTCAAGCTACAACTCTGTCTGTCCCAAAAAGGCAGGCTGCTGCCCAATGCAGAAAGCAGGTGGCTGCTGGCGCCAGGAATAGGATGTTTGGCCTGTATAGACCCATTCTTAAACAACCTTTTCCTTCCAGCCATTTTAAAGGTAGAGGAAACACTTCATTTTCATGTGAGAAATTCACCAAAGTTGATAACAAGAAATTAGCCTCTGCAGGACTCAGCACAGGAAAAGAGCCCTCCTCGGCAGATTGTTCCATGATGCCAGAACTGGGTATTGGTGCAAAGCATTTCACCCCATGGATGAGACTTGTGGCAGAATGGCAGAAAATGATGTTTAATAGATTGCTGGTGGGGAGCAGGGGAAATTCACAGAGGAATTGAAATTCTAGCGTGGGTTTTATGCACATAATTACTGTAATCTGAGAATGGCCTCAGGATATCACTTCCATGAGAGTCACATCCAGAAGTCGGGCTTAGTGTTAAAACCTATAATTCACCTTTTAATACTCTAGTTTCAATTGTTTTTCATCCTAGCCAGGACTGGAAAGAGAAGCAAACACTACTGGAGTAAACTGATAGTATCCCAAGTCATTATTTACAATGATGCTTAGGACTTGCTTCTTACATGTCCCACAGCCAGACCTGCAGTAGTGGGACAGTTTGCCCAGGCAAAATATTTGATGGCTGTACTCGGGCTTTGTGTCATTTCCCAGGCCGAAATATATGGTTTCAGGGGAAGTGAACTTTCAGTTCCCTGGGTGGTAGTAGTCTAAAGTGACCTAATCTTGATCTAATGGGTGGCATCCTTGCTCATGTCAAGGTGCAGGGCTTGGAACTAGATGGTCTTTAAGGTTCCTTCCCAACCAAACCACTCCATGATTCTATGACAAACCAGAAAAAATATCCCAGTTGCATCAACTAAGCGTCATATTCAAACATAACTGAAAGTTCCTATTTGCATCTCAACCTAAAAAATTTCAGTGGTGTCACTCAGTACATTTAGACCAAAAACAGGACTGGAGAAGGCAGTAGTAACATCCACGATAAACACCAGAGGGAGCCTGGAGGAAG